TAATCAGATACTAGAGTGGAATGTTTGTCGACCTGGCAAAAAACGAGTTTATAATCTATGCGCGTTCGGTCACCACCGCCACTGCAGGCCTACCCCCCCACCCCCCCCTGGTGTGACGGAAATTACCGAGCTGACAGCGTTAACGTCTGGCCACTCGCCAAAGCTTTTTGAAAGTCCTATTCTGCCATTGCTACAGAAAAAGGTTACCTAACACCCCGACTTAGGGGAACAATCTGCAACGAGCACGAGGAAGTTCGGTAACAAACACCATGACAAGCCACTTGGTTGAACTAGCTATCATTTGTGGCCAGGTCGCTACTGAAAAAGAGAACCCATAGCTTTAGCTGCTGAAATTAAAAAAATAGTTGAGCTTTTTTGTGATTTGCTTAACTTTCCTATACTTTGCACTCGTATCGTGTTTATGTATTGTTTGCCGTTATAACCTTCTACCTTGCCCCGACTGGACATCTGTGAAAAATCTCCTTACAGCTCATCGGGTTCCTGAGTCGTGGATGGCGGCACGCTAGACTCGCGGAGGTAGCCGGAAGTTGAAACAACGTCTGAGGGGGTCACAAATTTCACCGCACTTCCGATCACCCAGCAGTGCTTGTGCACCACGGGGACCGATCGGCAGGCTCGTGCGCCGTGAGGTTAAGAGTACAGGTACACTGCCCGACCCCTTCCAAGACGTCTGGCCAGGGTGGAAGAGTAGCCCAAACACCCTCTTGTACAGCTTTCTCCAGTGGAGGCCACCCTCCACCAGCAGTGGCACGAGCAAGCAAGTGCAGGGCCGCGCCTTTGCCTTCAGCACGGTCAACTGGCCCTATTGCACAACTGCCGGTTTCCAACCTCTGCTGCCCCGGCCGTCTTGACCCTCTGGCCAGGAAGTGAGATTAACTGTATGGTGCACCCACGGGGAGCTCGATGGCAGACAGTGACACATCACAACACGTGAGCGTAATAATACGGCGCACGCAGTCAGATTGCTTTTGGGCAATGAACGTTTCGCTTGCGTCTTATCTCAGTCCACGCCACGGCGATTGACGATGGTTCGTTATTATTAATAGGGGCGTTTACCCTGGGTAAGCGCCCCTATTAATACCCAGGAGAGAATCACCAAGTGTTGTGATTCGCTTTCAGGAGGAACCTGACTAGTTTTCGCAGTGGGGGGTTGGGTGGGAGATGGATTGCATTGCAGATTCCAATTGAGCCGTCGTTTGCGTGTCTGTCTTTTTATTTGGACCATGACGTGTTTTTGTATTGTTTGTTGCTGTAACTTTCTGACCCACCCTTGCTGGACATCTGTGAAAAAGAGCTTTATAGCTCATCAGATTCCTCCAGGATAAATACAGACTCTGATTCTGACTTACAACAGCAAACTCAGACTCTTTTGAGACAGCTAAGGCCCATTGAGCTATACAGCTATTTTCCGAAGGGCGACCTGCACAGAAAAGTGGCAACAATGGCACATTGCAAGGGATGGTACGTGGGATAAAATAATAATTAAAATCTAAAAAACACGTTCAAAACAAGAAATGAGACGGCAACAGCAGCGTAGGACCATACCTACGTGTCTCAACAGAGGCAGCGGATATCGATCTTTAAAAATAATAACACGAACCACACCTTCTTTATGTTGCTCTTCACCAAGCCATATGCAAGCAGAAAGAACGGAGCGTAAATATTTGGCGTGGTTTCATCACTGCGCTATATCCCCCCCCACACCACACACAATGTAAGCAAAATCAAAATTTTGAGGTGAGAAGCTCTGGTTGAGGTCTGATGGAATGACCCGAGTATGAAAGTCAATGATGTTCACCAATTGCCATAAAACATCATCATCGCCGAATGTTTTTTACAAATTTACTCCACGTTTATTTTTGTGTAACCAGGTGAGAGCTCAAGAGACCAGGCAGGATGAGTCATTTGCAAGAGTGACCTCGGGCATCAGTCTGCTAGTAGGGGGGCAATGCTTGCTATGTATAGTCCACAATTATGTAATTTCCGATGTCATTTTAAAATTTGGCAAATTTGGACCCCGACTCCAGCACACGGTGGCGAGATGTTAACTACCTCGCCTGATATACAGAACATCGTGGGTTCGATACCAACCCTGATGCCTGCATATTTGGAGTTTGCATGTTCTCCTCGTGGTCACGTGGATTTTTATCCGGGTTCCACGGTTTTTCCCTCCACATTTAGAATCAACATGCGTTTAGAGCAGGGGTCGGGAACCTTTTTGACTAAGAGAGCCATGAAAGCAAAAAAATTGGAAATTTATTTCAGTGAGAGCCATATAATATATTTTAAAAGTGAATTCAACTAAATGTCAGTATAATAAGCCTCTGAATTTATTCTTTTAAATAATGTTGTTATAACACTCACCATTAATGCGACTTCTGGTGCTGCATGGATTTGCTGATGTCTTTGTAGTCGGGTTGGTACTTGGTGAGGTTAAGCTTCATGCAAGCGTTGAGGCTTTCATCCGTTAAACGTGATCGTAGGTTGGACTTGATGTTTTTAAGATGTGAGAATGACTGCTCACATGCATACGTAGATCCAAACATGGTCAATACAGCAATACTCACACGCTGCAGTGTGTGGTATGTGACAGGAAGCGCGTTCCAAGTTTTGAGAATCAGCTGGTCTTCGGGTTGGAGTTTTTTCATTTCTGTCCACATGTGCTTGCTCGCCAACTCCGCTTTCTGTCGTGTGATTCTTTCCAAATCTTCATTCAGTGACTTGAACTTATTCACCCACATGTCTGAGGCCTTCAGGTCAGCCACTTCTGCTTCAAAATCTCTGACGGAGACACCAGGGATGTAATTCAGGTCCGCTGTGTTCAGTGAACACTCGTTTGGATGGGTGATGAACTTAAAAAGACGAGTGTGCTCACGAAATTCTCCAAAGCGTGCTTTGAAGGACTGTAGGAGACTGGATGTGCAGCCAGCTAGCTGGTGGAGATCAAGGTTTTGAATGGGCTCACTTGCTGTGCATGCATCTTTAAATTGGCTCAGTTTTTCAAAATGTAGTAAACGACCTGTTTCAAGATCCGTGATGAAAAGCTCCAGCTTGTTTTCAAAAGCAAATACAGCTTGTTGAAGGGATAACACTGTATTTCCAATGCCTTGCATTTTCACGTTGAGCTGGTTCAGATGTTCAGTCAGATCTACGAGATAGTAAAACTTGAGGAGCCACTCGGTGTCGGCTAGCTCAGGATGCCCGACGCCTTTCATTTCAAGGAAAGTCCGGATTTCGTTCAGGCAAGCCGCAAAACGGCTAAGCACCTTCTCTCTTGACAACCAACGCACATTGCTGTGCAAAAGCAGACCAGGATAGTTATTTACAACTTCATCCAGTAGTGTTTTAAACTGGCGATCATTTAAGGCTCGGGCAACAATAAAGTTGATCACACGAATGACCAGCGACATCACTTCGCCAAACTGCCTGTCACACATCTGAGCACAAAGTGCCTCCTGGTGTATAATGCAATGGAAACTTAGGATGGGTCTATTTTCATGTTCACGGAGAAGCGCCACAAATCCTTTGTTTTTCCCCACCATACACGGAGCACCATCAGTACACACTGAGAGAAGTTTATCCATAGGTAGACTTTTTTCTTGAGCAAACTCCATGAAAGACTTGAATAAATCCTCACCTCTTGTGGACCCTTTTAATGGCAGAACAGCAAGACTTTCTTCGCGCAGTGTGTCACCAACAGCATATCTTGCAATCACGCTGAACTGCGACAAATGGCTCACGTCTGTTGACTCATCCAAAGCCAGAGAAAAGAACGGCGCTGCATTTATGTCCTTCACTTGCGTTTCCTCCACTTTGTTTGCCATCACGATGGTACGATCATGAACAGTTCTTGCCGACAGAGGCATGTCTTGTATCCGTTTGATTATCTTGTCTTTGTTCGGAAGATCATCAAAAAGTTCATTGGCTACATCCAGCATGAACGTTTTAGCATACTCGCCATCTGTGAATGGTTTTCCGTTCCTCACTATTGCTAAAGAACTAGCAAAGCTAGCCGAATTATAGTCACCTTGCCGGGTCCATACGCGGAGTTGCTGCTGGCTAGTTTGCACCCTGCTCAGAAGCTCTTGGCACGCTTTCTTTCTGCTGTCTCCCGCAGGGTATTTTGATGCAAAGGTAGCGTGGCGCGTGTCGAAATGCCGCTTTACATTCGACCGTTTCAACGATGTAATTTTGTCATTGCAAATTAGACACACCGCAGAACCCGCTCTCTCCACAAAGGCGAATTCTTCGGTCCATTCGTCCTGAAATGTACGATACTCGTCGTCTTTTTTTCTTTTCGCCATCTTCTTCGTCGAAGGGTTAGCTTTGAGCTAATGACCGAGCAGACGCAGTCTCAGACTGATTCAAAAGGGGGCGTTTACCTGTTTTACCCAGCAACGGCAAACGTAGGCCAGTATCATCCAATTAAAATAATGGACAATTGCTCCTGCAGCCCTGAACAGGACATGCGCAGTCAAAAATCGATGGATGGATTAAAACAAGTGAGAATATTTTGTTTTATCTGCGAGCCATATGCAATCATCAAAAGAGCCACATCTGGCTCGCGAGCCATAGGTTCCCGACCCCTGGTTTAGAGTATTTGGCTGCTATAAATTTCCACATGATATTCCACTTCGTAGAGTTATCATTTGTGACCAGGTCGCTTCTAAAAAAGATCTACATAGCTCAGTGGGTCCTATAGTTTTAGTTTACTCTTGCGAATGACATTAGGGGTCTTTAAAGTTCAGAATGAGTTAAGCGGACGGCGTATCGCATTATTTGTGGTCATTGCACACACAGTGACAATTAGGGCAGCCGCTGGATTTTAACCGTGAACCTCTGCAACAAGTGGCAAAAGTACCCACCACCAATGGGCCACTTTGCCTCTCCAAACAGCCTCGACCCCCTGCCCCCCCCCTCTCTCAATCCTGACCCCAATTGGGGGGGGGGGACATTTTGGCGACGGCACCACCCCCCACCTCTCGATGACGTAGAAGTTGTCGCCGTCGTCGCCCTGGTCGATGACGTGCTCGCCGTTGTCCACCTGGCGCTCAAACATCGCGTCCAGCACCTGGGAGAGCTGCTCCTGCGTTCGCGAGCGAGCGGGGAGACACGCACGCAGTACGGTGATGAGATGTTAACTCCCTCGTCTGGTATAGAAGGAGGTCGTGGGATTGATCCCGACCCTTGATTCCTGCATGTTCTCCCTGAAGTAACTGTGTGGCTTCTTCTTTAAGTCCTACGGTTTTTCTCTCCACATTTATAATGAATTCGTGTTTATAGTATTTGGCTTTTATAAATGTCCACGTGATACGCCACTTCATTGAGCTATCAATTCTGGTCAGGTAACTTCTGAAAAAGAGCTATACAGCTCAGTGAGCCTTACCTGGTAAAAACATTCATCTTAATAAAATAGTTCAAACTAAATAAACAAACAGTCGGTAACATCTCCTTCACATATCCATCTCATATTCATCCACGTGATTTTTTTTTCTAACAACCCATCAGTCGCATTGCCTTCTGGGAGCACGTGTTTTAACTCGACCAATACTCTGCCGATTATTCAAATACTTGACTCGTCGGATAGCATGGACATTGTTGTAAAAAAAAATGGTTCAACCTATGTTCCCACGTGTGACGCTGGACGGGAAGTGATGGGCAGGGCTTGGTGATGTCATGGGCATTCTCAGCCACATCGAGCAGGGCGTGGCTGGTACGGGGGTTTCTCGCCTTCATTAATAGAGCACTGGAATCTATCTTGTTATTATTTGTTGTCATCACCATCATCAGCTATGGTCAATGGACTTGTAGAGGTGTTAACTACACACTGTTCGGTAACCTGCATTGCCACCAGGTATCAAAGGGGCAGTGCAGCATTACCTCTGTGTACATAACGGTTGGGGTCAGACGAGGTGAAGTGGATCGTAGCCACAGTTTGGTAAGAACCAATCAGACAGTTCCACGTGGGAATGTGGGATTGGTTACACCTGGCCACAAACGAGTGTAAGAAGGGTAACCACGCAAGCACGGGGAGTTCTCTCCCTACACGAAGACCGAAGCCCGGGCTTAAGATTAGCTAGGACCCTGGACCCAGCCTTCCAGCCCTTCTAAGGGCTAAGGCTCAGCGTACCCAGTGGTCAGGACCCATCGGGCCAGCAGTGGGTCAGACAGCCTCCCCTAGGTCCCAGCCGGAGGACTATGGGATAGCGGTAGACGTGTAAGTCCCGCCAAGATAGGAGGCTGTACCTCCTTAGGCTAGGATAGCGGTAGACGTGTAAGTCCCGCCAAGATAGGAGGCTGTACCTCCTTAGGTATCAAGGAGACCTGTGTGTAGGTTACGCTGAGTCCGGAGGCTGTACCTCCTTAGGGTATCGGGTGATGGGACCGTATACCCCTCCGTGTGTTAAGGACTGTGTAAGAGAAGAATTACAATCAACAGAGTGTGCCTCATAAGAAGTGTATTCGTCTTTATAAACACTACAGACTGGTGGATCAATCAGTCCTGCAGATGTGATAGCTCACCTAGCTAGAGCCTGGACTCAAACCTTGCATCCTGCTACATCTTGCAACTCTCACAGCGTCAATAACCAACGTACTCTGGGCATTCACTTGCACAGCCCTTTTGTAAATTCACTGCTGGATGAGGGCCTTCTCACGCCGTGCGGGCCATGGGGAAGCTATTTGAGCATACTTCACCATGCCGGTAAGGGCGGGTTGGTGATAGGTGGGGAGAGGCAAGGATAGGGGGCATAGAAGTATAGTGCAGATATTGACTTAACTGCAACTGCCCTCTGCTGCCCACAACATTTTCCCGCAGTCTATGACACCTATTTAACGCTGAGCGGTCACGATTAAAGGCTCAAACCTGCTTAGCTTGGTCACGACACACATTCGAGCTGCATGATCGGCTGTAACCGAGCGAGTGATGTAAATTGTAATCGTGTTCTCGAAGGGCGAGAAAAGCTGAAATTTGGCGAATAAATTTTGATTTAAAGCTTTCGTGACTGCATGGATTCATCTTCTTGGTTCTTTCGGTAAATTCAAGTAGAAGGGAAATAATAAAATAATAAAAATAAAACATAATAAAATAAAATTCTCACGACGTTTCGGCCACAACACAAGCAGCCGTCTTCAGGTGAAGAAACAGAACTGTTGGGAAGACAGCGCTCCAATGAACACTGCTAAGCTTGGCAGCGTCTTTTAAGCTGGGTGGGAGGAGCAGAGCGCCTTGACAAAGGAGTTTACATATCAACAGCAGAATTTAGCATTGAAGTGGCTAAGTTAATGTGATAGATTAGCAGGATGTTAGAGTCAGAAATTAGCATGTAACTGGGAGATTATATTAAGCATTACACTGAAAGGTACTAAGAGATTAGCAGGATGTTAAAGTGAGAAATTAGCATGTAACTGGGAGATTAGCATGATGTTATTAGGGTTGGTAGAATAATACATAATGTAATTTTACAAGTCTAATATTATTATAGTCTAAAGTATAGGGTAGTGTATAGTAACGCATGGTATAATTCAATGGTGGGTTTGTCTATGGAAGTGTATAGTACGGTGTATAGTCGTGTAATGTAGAAAAAAGTTTAGTTGGAGGCATATCAATATAATGCATAATGTTAGAGCTTATATTGGGCTGTGTATACGATATTATACAGTGTAGTTAAGATTGGAAGGTATAATATTGTAATGTATAGTAGTCTAGTTTATAGCATAGTTGTAACGCAGCACAGGACAGAGTAGCGCACCGTGGTTGTTTCTCTCTCCCCCCCTCCTCCGTTCCGAGCATAGATGGACTCGTCCGTCTGAACGATAGATGGACTCGTCCGTCTGAACGATAGATGGACTCGTCCGTCTGAACGCTCGCCGCTTTCTGTGGTGCTAACGTTGAAAAGAAACCGCTACTTTTTTCGACATAGAATTGTAATGTATAGTGACTTATTGTTAGTAGCTCAGCTGATTGGATAGTATATTGAGTTATTGATAATATTGATGTAATTTATATTTTAGTTTTTATCAGTTTACTATAAGGTATTCATTATATAGTGTAGTGTATACCCAGTTACTTTATGTTAATAGCTCAACCTATTGGAGAATATATTGAGTACATTGATTATATTGATGTATATTCTTAGTTTTTTCGGTAAAGTCACGTTGAAGAGAAACAACAAAATAACAAAATATATATAAAACAATAAAAAATTCTCACGACGTTTCGACCATAACTCAAACGGTCATCATCAGGTGTGTCGGTTTGCATAAATGTATTTTGAAAACGGCATATTTATTTATTTATATATATAAAAAAATAACGTTTGCGTCACGCGCAACGATTGGCAGTTTGCCCAGGACTAGTCCATCTATTTTTTGAAAAGAGGAGGGGGGAGACGAAATTTGTTTTTATGTATGCTGTCTGAAAGCCACTGTAAGCGTGAACAATCAATCAAGAACTGAAATGATTTATCAAATCTTTCCAATGATTGCTAAGATAGAATCCATCTTCTCGGTTGAAATTGTCTCTGTGCTTGTATATGTGGATAGCCTCATGAACGAATCTCTCATGGAAGCCAGATGGCTTACAAAGAACCTCCGTCTTGGAAAAGTCAATGGCATGTGAGCCTACTGAATTAGAACAATGATCTGCTACGGCCGAGGTGTTGGTCCTACCGTGTTTAAGGTCTGCTTTATGTTCACGAATGCGGTCCGAGATATGGCGTTCGGTTTCTCCAATGTAACTACTACCACAGAGGCAACTTAGTTTGTAGACACCAGGGTATTGTATGTCCGGAATCACATCTTTTACAGACGGAACCAGATCACGGATTTTATGTAATGTGTTGAAACGGACCTGGATCTTGTGTCTATTCAAGATTTTGGAGATCTTTTTGTGATCCCAGCAATGTAGGGTAAAGTGATGGTTTTGAAAGGCTCCTCAAGAGGGTTCTTCTTCATGGTTTGAGTGATAGCTTTGCGGATTGTATAGTCGGAGTAACCATTAGCCCTAAGAGCTTGGTGTACGTGCTTGAGTTCACTGCTTATGTGTTCCTGGTCGGATATGCATTGGGCTCTATGATACAGAGTCTTGATGAGAGAATTCTTCTGTGATGGATGGTGGTGGGAATCCGGTTTCAGATAAGCATCCGTATGGGTAGCTTTCCTGTAGACAGAGTGGCTCATTGAACCATCAGGTCTCTTTTTAATTAGGACATCCAAAAAAGGTATCTTGCCATCTATTTCGACTTCCATGGTAAATCTGATGGCTGGGTGTATGGAATTGATGTGGTCGAAGAATTGGTCTAGAGCAGGCCGGCCATGTGGCCAGATGACAAAAGTGTCATCCACGTACCTCTTCCATAAGGTTGGGCGCAGAGTGGCAGTCTGGATGGCGTCAGTCTCAAATTTCTCCATGAAAATCATAGAGCCCAATGCATATCCGACCAGGAACACATAAGCAGTGAACTCAAGCACGTACACCAAGCTCTTAGGGCTAATGGTTACTCCGACTATACAATCCGCAAAGCTATCACTCAAACCATGAAGAAGAACCCTCTTGAGGAGCCTTTCAAAACCATCACTTTACCCTACATTGCTGGGATCACAAAAAAAGATCTCCAAAATCTTGAATAAACACAAGATCCAGGTCCGTTTCAACACATTACATAAAATCCGTGATCTGGTTCCGTCTGTAAAAGATGTGATTCCGGACATACAATACCCTGGTGTCTACAAACTAAGTTGCCTCTGTGGTAGTAGTTACATTGGAGAAACCAAACGCCATATCTCGGACCGCATTCGTGAACATAAAGCAGACCTTAAACACGGTAGGACCAACACCTCGGCCGTAGCAGATCATTGTTCTAATTCAGTAGGCTCACATGCCATTGACTTTTCCAAGACGGAGGTTCTTTGTAAGCCATCTGGCTTCCATGAGAGATTCGTTCATGAGGCTATCCACATATACAAGCACAGAGACAATTTCAACCGAGAAGATGGATTCTATCTTAGCAATCATTGGAAAGATTTGATAAATCATTTCAGTTCTTGATTGATTGTTCACGCTTACAGTGGCTTTCAGACAGCATA